TGCAAATCACGTTTTTTGTTTTGACTTCCTACTTTCTATCATATTTTACCAATTTTTCTGTGATTTTTCCAGCATTTTCCCCTTTTCTTGCATGACAATAATCAATATTATCTATTTTACCAGATGATAATCAATATTTAAACATATACCCTTCTACGTGCATGAGAGAATAATCAATATCATTTGTTTTACCAGATGATAATCGATATTTGTAAATATATTCTCTGATGCATGGTTTGATGAAGGCCATTGGATCCTCGTACTATCATTTTGGTCTAAAGAGGGGTGACATGGCCCAATAATCGTTGTTAGATCTCCATCGCCTCTTGCTCCTTTTGCACGTCCTTTATTGGGACCTGTGTGCGTCAGATGCCATGATAGCCACTGTTCGATTGGTAACTACTTTTCGTGCATTGATGGTTGTAATGTGGCGTCTCCTGAATTGTCAAATCTGCTAGTAGTTGTCGTTGGATCCTAGAGCTACTTTTTTGTATGACGGTGGTGGTGATGTGGCTTCATGCGGTGCATCGGATCTGACCACTACTATCGCATGACGGTTAGATCTGAAAAGAATAACAAGATACATTTAGTTCCCATATCAAAAGTATTATGTGAGCATTATCATACATAATAATGACATCCTCTAATTATACTTATTTTAATACCTAAAATTTTTGAAAAAAATGTATAAAATACATTTCAATTAATCATAAAAATTTAGCACAATAATATTTTATTTTAAAATAAAATAAATGAGAATTAAGCCTCAAGATATGAAATAAATTGTCATCAATTTTCTTTTTATTAATAAAATATCAATTTAAATTAATATTTAGAGAGATTCATTTAAATAAAAAATAAAATAATTAACATGATAACTTGTGAAATATGTCTCAAATATGTATTATTCTCCCTAATTTGATAGTAGAATAGCATATAGTTTTCACAAGTTATCAATGACCATGACTTTTAAATGAATGTATTTGAGAATTCACACACATGATATAAGGTCAAGTGTGAATGTCTCCACCTTATTTTAACACTTCAATACTCATTAATCAAATTTTAATCTCACTAATTTTACATTAAAAATAAAAAAAATAATCATTATTCACATAATACTAGGAACATGAATTCTTCAAGACTTGATTGCAAAAATTAATAAAATATAAGTTAGACAGGATCTTAACTTGATCTTAGACAAGTTTCAAAAGATTTAGAAGAGGAACAAAGAGTATTTATTAGGTTTTGAATTAGTTAAACCTATTTCTATCATAAAATATAGAAAAAAATAAAATAACTTCACTTAAAATGTAAATAAATGATGAAAATAGAAAACAATTATTGCCCAATATTATTCTATCTCATGGGCAACTAGAGACACCAATGTGCCAATTTGGTTTCATTTGGTGTGCTGCACCACTCTCCAAAGAGATATGTCAAGAAGTAGAATTGGCCACATTGTCATCGTCGTCTAATGGGAGAAGGGAGGGGTTGACTTCTCACTAGACGCCTTAAGTACTTTCAAGGGAGGATGGAGCAAGCTCACTGATCGTCGGAGGTATTGATCACAAAAAGGAGAGGAAGAAACAGATGTTATATCCTTAAGGTTGATACATGCAAGAACATAAGTTCTTGGTATCATGGCGCTTTGCCTACTCCCAGATCAACTTTCTTTGGTCACGTGGTGCATTGGGAATCACAAGATTAACTTGCCATGAATTGTTGCTGACTACGAACTTAAGTTCCTAATATAGTGACGCCTCACTCACTATTAGATCATCCCCTTTTAGTCATGTGGCGTGTTGAGTGTCACAAGATTAACCCACTGCAAACCACTAATGATTGAAAACTTTATGTTTTGAGTATCATGGTGCTTCATTTACTATTGGATCTGCCTTTTCTAGTCATGTGGCATGTTGAGTGACGCAAGTAGAATATCTTTAATCCCGTGTTGATTTTTTTCAATGAACATGTCGTGTATATAATATAATGCTTCCAAATGCTTTTGACAAGTCCCCAATTTAGGCACAAGCCATGGGTCACATGGATGGTTGTCTGTAGCCAATTATAATAAAATATTATATTATATTATATTATATAAAAAAGTATTTTTTTAAAAGAAGAAATACATTAACTCCTTTAACTTTCAACCTTCGAAATTAACTATATAAAACTACATTTTCTTTTACAAATTAAAATAATAAACTATTTAAATGAAATAAATTAAGAACTAAAAATTAAGTATTAATAGCTACCATCCAAAATCCTCACTATTAACTTTTGATCATACTTTAGGTCAGATATTTCAACTCATAGATATGTTGTCCTTGATAATGTGTTTGGAGATTCTCAACTAATCAATTGACATCTTTATTTTCAGGGTTAAGCTTGAATATTATTGTTGAATTTGTCATTTTGTCCATGACTTTTAGTGATGTGTTATCATTTAAATTTTATATTATAGACATTCTTCAACTCAAATCTTTATGCTCTCATCTAGGTTGTATTTGATATTGTATTTAGATATTTTCAACTAATCAACGAACATCTTTGTTTTTAACGTTGAACTAAGATATTATTGTTGAACTTGTCATTTTGTCTACGAACTCAAGTGAAGTGTTACCATCTAAGGTACATGAAACTAATATTGAGTCATTATTTGCAAGTCTCTCATAGACAATCTTCAAATATTCTTTCTAGATATTAGTAACACTTGAACAAACAATCTTATTTTTAAGACTAGGTCGAAGTTAGTAGTTTTACTTTGTTTTTTTCTCTTCATAAAACCCTAACATGTCATAATGTAAATTACATGATGAAGATTTATTCACTACCTCTTTCACTTCATGGGAGTAGTCCAACTCAATTGTCATGTTTGACTTGAGTTAGAGTCCTACTACAATCAATGATCATGTATTTTTACTCTAAATATCTTACCAACTTTCCACATTATTAATATAGTGCACTTGATTTCAAATTTTTCCCATACTTTGGTTTGAATATTTCAGTCATCATTTTCCTACTTTCATGTAGCTTACTTCTTAAATTTGAATCTCATATCTACATTTTGCATCTTTAATTTTATAGATATTTTCTACTCAAATATTTTTGTCTTTACAATGTTAAGTGTTGTGTTCGAATCTCATAGGAGATTTTACTTTTTCAAAATATATGTCACACATGTACGCACAAATTATTTTATACTTATAGTTTGAGAATATTGCACTATATTATTTTAACACAAAAGTATATCTCAAGGGTGTAATTTTTTGGATTCATTGTTGGCCATATAATTTATGTTTAACATCATCAATATGTAATTTGAATATTCATCAATAATTTTTCACTTGTGATGAAACAGTCATGATGCATGTGGATGGTTTAACAAATATAGAATAAATTATTATTGATAATTTTTTCTCTTATAAATGTCAAAACCAAAGATATCTACAAAGAATGCACCACATTTGCAAAGGTACATAAAAGTATGTCATGGTGGACACAAGAAATATAAGTTTTTGTCACAATAGTCACTAGAGCAAAATAAAGTCGAAATGTGCTCATTGTTGGCTAAGAAAAGATTGAGGTCGACATTATGGAGCGAAATTAAGTAACCTTGAATCCTTGTGATAGTAGTCACTTGAGCTAGAAAGGAGAGATGAACAAAGTTTGTGAGAAAAACTACGAACTAATTTCTCGAACCCAAACAAACAAAACCAACAATTCATAAAACTCTTTTTTTGACACAAAAGTGAGACATGAGTGGCAATCTAACATTTGACTTGTTGTCAACAATCGGACTAGTATCCTTGCTCTTCCTCTTGTCAACCTTGATTGTTGACATCAGCCTTCAACAACGCTAAAACACACCTTAGCATGAAGGTTACACACATTTCTCTCACTAGAAGTATATAGTTGCCAAGCTAACCTCTCAAGTTAGGCATTCCCACTGTTCATAGGATTCACATGTTGAGTAGGCTTTCCAGATTAAGCCAACATTTATTCCCAGCCCTTGAAATGTGGATGTCATTATGCCTTGATCGAAGACAACTAAATCATCCTACACATGTAGGTATACCCTCATCCCTCCATGTTGGGTTGGGTCTTGATACTTGGTCCTGGGTGAACACTCATAGCCAAGACTAACTTGGGGCCTATGTGGCCCATTGATACCCTTATAAAACAACCACAACAATCAGGAGGGGGCAAGAACAAGGTTAGAGAGAAAAATCGTCACTATCTTTACAAATTTCCCAAACCCATCATTAGAGCCAACATAATTTGTCCAAATCTCTTATTAAGCCATGCAAGTCCCATATGTGGAAATCAAATTTTGAATTCATCTAGGAAAAGAAGCCAAGCCAAATGTTCTAGACCAGATGTTCTAGTCCTGTCTGGGGAACTCCCTAGGCCAGGCTTACCCAACCCCTTGACACCTCGAAAAATAGCCATACATAAAGAAAGGAGAGATGAACAAGGTTAGAGAGAGAAACCACCACCAATTCCACTGAATTCCTCAAACCAAACAAGCAGGTTCAACACAATTCCCTCTGTGAAAAATTAACCAAGAGAAGCCTGACTGGATGATCAAGGTGAAGGGCCGGGCTGGGTTGGACTTGGGGCTAACTGAGCCTCCCCCAACACCATTAACAGCCACGTCAAAGAGAGAGATGAAAGAAGAAAAAGTTAGAGAGAAACTGGCACCACCGACGCAAAACAATGAGCTTTGCATCTGCATTTGTATTCCCTTAATGAACCAAGTGTCTATGGGCATGCTCTCCCTCCAATCGCGGCCGGCTTCTGCAATTAAGAACAATGCGCCTGCCTCCAAAAACAGGGGCGCCCAAGCGGCGCCATACGAGAACAGCACCTCCATCGTATGCTACAGAGAATACAACCCGAAGAGATGCTCGATTGGGGAGCGAGATGACAGCGAGAGCGAGATTGAGAAATTCTATTCTAGGAAATTTGGGTGGTTATGGAGGAAGATGGATGGGTCAGACTTTAATGGCGTCAGGGAGGAATCTACTTCCCCTGGACTGTCTTAGTTTGAGGAGGGCGTCGGAGGTCTTCCCCAGCCGGAGGTCGACATAGACGGCTGTGAGCAGCGCTTGGGGGCTGGTCGGCGCGGCCGAAAGGGCTTCGGCGGAGAAATTCTCCGCCTGCTGCAGATCACCGTGGACGGCCGACAGGGCAGCGAGGTTGACGTAAAGCGCTGCGCGCGCTTCCTCCGGCCGGAGGAACGACCGACCACTGGCTTTGGCGGCGGCGCCCGAGTCGTCGCTGCCCTCGCCGGCCTTCTCGGAAGGCCAATTCTCCACGTCGTCCTCCCCGAAGGACAAGCCGAGAACGGAGCCCTGTTCTGAGACGTAGACCGACAGCTGCTCCGACGCCTCTCCGGGGAGGTTCAGGCGGCAGAAGGCTTCGGCAGCGTACGTGCGGCCGAGGAAGGCGTACGCCTTAGAGCAGTATGGCAGCCGCTGGAGCGCCGTAGCGGCGGCGAGCGCTCTCAGGTGGCTCCCCAGGCAGAGCTCTGCATAGGCCAGGTCGGCGAGGGCGGCTTGCTTCACCGCCTGGTTCTCCCTCCTGCAAATCTCCTCGTACGCGGCGACAGAGCTCTGGATGGCGGCGCTGGAAACGGAGCAGCCTTTCGTCTCTCTGGGTTCCCCGTTGGTGCTTGAGCTCTCCGGCGACGGAGCCTCTTCCAGCAGGTGCAGGGCATTCAGCAGGCACTGACGGGCGAAGGCGGCGGAGAGCATCCACCGGCAGTCGTCGTCGCCGCCGCCGTCGGGGGAGGAATCGGGGTTCTCCCGCCGGCAACTAGGGTTCACCGCGAGCTGTCGCCACTTTCCCGAGCCGACAACCTGGAGCTCCACCGCCCGCTCGTCCTTCTCCCGGGCCAGCAGGAAACATTCGGCAAGCCGGAGCCAGAGCAGCGGCCGCCGCCCGCCGAAGCCCCGGCTGGCGGCGCGGAGGCAGCGGGCCGCCGTAAGGGGCTTCCCGCAGGTCAGGTGCTGCAGGCCACAGTTGTAGAGGACGTGGTGGGGCCTGTTCTGCGAGAGGGCGAAGAGCTGCTTCAGAGGAGGGGCCTCCTCTCCCCGGAGGGCCACCCCGAGGAGGGCTACGGCGGAATGGTGCTTCTCCAGCTTGCTATAGATGCAGGCGAGGTTGTTGTTGAGCGCGGCGGCCAGGCCCGGCTCCGCCCTGCCGCCGGCGGTCTGCAGGAGCTTGATGGCCTTGCGGTGGTTCCCCCGGACGTACTCCAGCTGAGACTTGAGAAGCAGGGCCATGGACAGGTCCCTCCCCCGGGCGACATTCATGATCTGCTTGACCTCCCGCTTTACGGCCTTGAGGTTCCGGGTGAGGAGCAGGAGCTGGACCTTGAGGAGGTGGAGCTTCAGCCTCAGATCTACGGTGGCGGCAGGCCACTCGGCCGGCGGTGCCCTCGAGAGCTCGCCGGCGCGGTTCAAAGTGGAGAACAGGGTTTCGTACTCGATGGAGTCGTCTAGAAGGGCCCTCTCGGAGGTGGTTTCTGGGGCATTTGCGCCGGCGGAGGGATCCGCGGCGGCGGCGGCGGCGGGGGAGGAATCGGCGGCGACTTGTACGAGGGGAGGAGCAGGGGAGCCCCTCAGCGGTTGGGAATGAGCCTGGATGCCGCCATTATCCCCCTGATTTGGGAGGAAGCCGACGCCAAAAGACCGCTCCACGTACTGGATCACGTCCTGAGATCACAAAATCGATACTTTCTAAGGGAAATTTCTGGGACGAAGTTAAAGCTGATAAACACACAGAAAATCGTTCTCCATGCACATGATCACATCCTAAGATCGCGGAACAGATGCTTTGAAGGGAAATTTCTACAAAGAAGCTCAAGCTGATGAACCCTTATTTTCTGTCGATTCATCTCAAAAAAAAAAAAGAGGACATTTCCGTACGCCGACCCATCCTGAGATTTCTAAATAAAAATGTTTAAAGAAGGGGACATTTCTGCAGAGAGAGACTATGTAAAAGCCTGCCGACACATCCTCAAACCTCTCCATGCAGCTGGAAGCCCCCTACCAGCTGAGCACGTTTTTCCAGGGTTTTCTACAGATTCAGGTTCCGGGGTCTCCATAATCTCTGATTTTCAAATTGGCTCCCCTAAAATATTAAAAATCTGGAGCACAAATCCTTTAGTCAGTTGAGTCCACAGACATCCACCCCTGAGATCCTCTGGCTATTTTGATCCAATTCAGTCGGTTTCATGGGGAACCATTTTTTCTCATTCAATACTTTTGTGTCACCAAACCACACCAATATTTATTGAAACTGAAGATTTATTTTGAGGGCAATCACCGATATAACCAGAATGTATCAGTTCAGACCACGCATCCAACACATAACCTGAGAATAGAGTCAGATTAAAGAGTTCTTGCTCAAATTGATAGTCTTGAATGATTTTAAAAAACAAGACAGTTTTAGTTAAAAATAATATTTAGATGGGAAAAATCTAGTAGCACATGGTGCAATAGGCATTCCATAAACGTATAAAATTCCCCAAAACATCCGTATCTCTCCCATTTACCCTGCATGACGCAGAAAACTAAAATTATTCTTCCATTTCTATTATTTCTTTTCAATGGAAATGGGAGGCAGTGACCATTGGAAAGGCTGACCCGGAACTAGCATAACGCTAGAGCTCAGCGCCCCATGTGGCATGGCTCACGTCACAACCTAAATGAGTGATCTTCGATGCAATACCTCCCTTTTCGTCCTTCCCCTGGGTTCTTAGAATGTTGACAATTGTCGTGACCGTTCGTTCTCAAGTTGGTCAAATGGAAGCAATTCATCACTGTTTGGCAATTAGTTCCAAAAGTCTCATCACCATTACTGTTCAAATGATGTAAGAGGTAGATATTTAAATTCTTCACCTCTTTCCTACCAAAAATAATGATCCAAAATAGGAAATGCAGTCTAAATATAACATTTTTTATGATGAGGTCGCCAGGGGACACAATGGCAGAAAATTGCTTCCCCTAGGATTCAAACAGCTATGGGCCGAGTATACAGCGGCACATCAACAGACAACTTCTTAGCCGTACTACATGATAAAATAAATTAGCCTTCCAAGAGTACTCATCAGAAGAAAGTATTATCCTGTCATGAAGTTAATGCTGCCTTTTTTATCAATGACTCGAAAACTTAGATGAATGTGTAAGAGAGCATCAGAAAAGCTAACAAGTTTAGGATAACTAATCCAACACTCACAGTTTAATTTTCACATGAAATATCACCTTTCAAAGTTGCTGACACGTCAGCAACACAATACTTCTTAAAGTAGGCACTCAAGGAAAAGGTGTTCAACATTTTGAGAACAATATTGGTATTACTGGAATGTGTATCAGAACTGAAGGGTAACTTCTCATAAAATGAGGTCACACAAAAGGGATCACAAATGCAAATAGTTCAATAATGGACAATGTGGATGTATACAACCTGAGCTTCTTAATAAACATTAGGTCACCTCCATCCGGTAGTAAACAATCTTAATGTTGGTAACACTGATGGGATCTTTAAAGGGCAAAATAGAGTTAGTTGTTTTTATGGGGTCTCTCTCCAAATTAGTACTGTATAACTTAGCCATGTATTTCGACACTTTTTTTTTTCCTAGTAACAGTTACTGCTGCCCACAAGCATCCCTTGCAACTCTTCACTCAGTTTGACCTTGGGCTCAAAAGGGAACATGATGATTCTCCCGCATAAAGGAAATCCAGAAGTAGAAGCATAAATTCACCATGAATCCATTTGAGAAGAGATCTTGTCGGGAAAACGTGTAATTACGAGTTAGCTTCTGTTGGTCAGTTTCCTAGTTGGACAGTTTCTTTGTTAATGAGCTTCATTGACTTAGGTTGTTTCCTCTTTTTCGTCACCAGGGCAATTATATGTAACCAGCAATTGTTCTATGATTTGAAGGATGAGAGGTTTTTCCTGACTGTTTATCCTTGTATTGTTTAGGTGAGATCTGGGCTCTTTTATCTACTTTTATTCTGACTACAGTGAGTATGACCCTCAACTTCTGAACCATTAATTCCTTTCATAATCTCAAAATCTGATGGAAAACTGCAGGAAAAATCTCCAATCATCCTGCATCAGACAGTCAGCGCTCTGCATTCAATAATGGCAATTCTCATCTTCAACAAATCAATGTTTGCTACCATTTGTATAGACCATCTAGGGTGATCAATAGACATTCTCCATAGCGACAGGTAGGGAACCAGACAAGCAGGTGGCCCTACGAGATCGTCTGATCCTCAGTGTCCCTCCACACTCACTTTATCCAAAAACCGTCCCTGCCTTATCAGTGTACTCTGTCAACGGACTATAGGTGCCTATTCAGTGGCTAGCTATTCAGTGGCTACTAGCAGGCAAACTAGCAAACAGAGGCAGACAAGAAATAAAAAACAATAACAGGAAAATTTAATAAAGTATAAATAGGCGATCTCTTCCTTGTGAAAGCCAGAATGTCTAGGTAAAAATCATAAACAAAAATATGATATTTGCCGCAGTACTATCTTCCTCTTTAGAGAATCTCGACCTTTATGACCCATTACTAATTAAATTAAAATAATTCAGAATACACTGTAGGATGGGCATTTCCTATTATCCCACTGAACCAAAGATACAAAAACGTACTTCCAAGAAAGAAACTTATACCAAAAAACCTATGATTTGATGGCATCCCTTAGTTAACTCACAACTTAAAGTGTTGGCAGGTAGGCAATGCGCCATTGGGACCCTCGCTAGGCATTCTTATACAAGAATAAAAGATGACCTCTGACAACATGCGATGGACAACAAGCCATAAAGCAAGCAAAGAATTCCTCTCGTTTTCTGAACAACTAGAAGATGGCTTCTATCAATATTCTGTGAAAAGTAATAAAACCAGAAAAAGATAAATCAAAATATCTTTCCACCAAACACCTGATCCCCATGATATCAAATTCTTGTCTTAAAATGGAGCCTCCAGTTATATTTCATTATACATTGAATTGAAAACCGAAATGAGACAAATACTGGAATTACTATGTAAATTAATGAAATCAATATTAGAATAATTAAAGAATTGAACATACTGCAGCCCTCGTAGCGTCATTGGAAGCCAAAGCAATATTTATTAGCAGAAAGCAAACATGAAGAGCAGTCGTCTGCAGATGAAAGAACATATTTATGAAATTGTAGAAGAAACAACCGCAAATTACTATGGAAAAAATAGAGCCACAGAACGTACCTCATCTACAGGATGTAATCTATCATAGAGTGGCTCCAACAATGACAAGGCATGTGCATAATCATGTAAATGGTAAAGGACAACAGCCTACATGGAACTGAAGTTTAGTAACTGACCAAATTGGAAAATTTTCAGGATCATATCAACAAAACAACAGTAATAATCTTTTGGCTTACAGTGTTAAAGGTTATTATTGAAGCATCAAAAATATCTGCAAATGGAGTACTGCTGGCCCTGGCAGACGAAAGTTGATCACCCATAACTCCACTGCCTTTAAACTCTGAAATTTCATTGTTTGTGGGACTACTTGCAACTTCCACGTCCTCTCTAGATGCGTGAGCAAGATCTTCACTCCTCTTCTATTATTGTTTTGCATAACAAGAACAACAGTCCACAGAGAGAACTGATTCAGTTTTATCCTTAGGTGGTAAGGCAACAAAGATAGCATAAAAATCATAATAAATTGAAGATATTTCGTACATATTTGTGAAAAAATTAATAAATGGAGAACTAGAAAAGAGTCCACAGAATCTTCAACCATGAACAATAGTGCAGAATTGGGTAAAAGGACATATTTGCTATCAAATGTTAGATAACGTTAATTGTACTAACGATAAAATATTGTGCTCTCAGCTAAGTGTTTGTGAAGGAAAGCTGATGAATAGGAAACGAATTACAAACGTATGCTGAAAATGGGTCGATAATCAGATAGCTTAAAAAATGTAGAGAATCCAATGAAGGGGATCATGTACATTTGCCATCACAGTTGAATTAATTGATCGGGTTCATTGATTTCATACTCAAAAAAGTATATTTGAGCCAGAAAGTATTTAGAAATGACAAAAATTGGATCCGACGGGAAACAAATGTTTCCTGGGGAAAATTCCATCCAGACAGATATAATAGTGCATAATCCAGATCTCACTTAGAACCATTAATTCAAGCCTACCACAGATGTTATGTCAAGCTCTCAGGTAATGCTGATATTTAAGTACATATATGTCTAGTATTCTTAGCTCAAGAATAAAAATTGTGGATATAAGATACATGCTGATAGGAAATTACCAGAAAAAAGTTCCTTTTCATAACAATTTATAATGAATAAATGGCTTTACGTATTGTATTGCACTCTATCAGAAAACGCACATATTTGACACTCTATGGTAGGTAACTAAGACAAATGTAAGATATCTACAACAGGTGCATTGTCTCACACTTGGAAGACAAAAAAGCTATCGCTTTTTTGGAGTGAATATAAATGGCCACACAATGGAAGGTTTTCATGCTTTCGGACATATCACATGTGATTGTCAAATCAGCAGGTTGCCCAAAATGTACTATACATAAATGCAAACTGTTCTACTAATTTGAGATAGATAATCAGTAGCCCAGAACTAATGTTCCATACAATATCAGTCAAACGGTTACATTTAGATAGTAATCGAGAAAAGAAAAAAAATACATTAAACAGTAGGCTGTTCACCGGTATGACCTGTTAACAGACAGAATAAAAACTATCAAGCACGAGACAATAGTTACCTTAACTTTGTTAAGCAATTCAAGTAATTTTCTAGGATCCAAACAGCCATCACGAAAATATTCTGCAATGGCAATATTATGAAGAACCTGAAATAATTTCATAGCGTCAACAATGACAAATGCTCAGAAAAAAATCACAATTTCACTTCAACAAAAAAAATTATCCAGGGAACTAGTGCACATGTTTTGGTAATGACCGCTATCAGTGCCCATTTACACGAGAGCAAGAAAGTATAACAATGAAAATGAAATTTCACACCAGTCAAATCAGGAAGAAAAATGGGCGTCATTTTTATTAGACCCAATACTGATAAAAGAGTTATTAATAATGAAGTTTTCCCATTGTTGAATCCCAGACGTAGAGCTTTGAGCAAATAACGATTAATGAAACTTCCCCTACAGGATTAAAGAGAAAAATGCCTCATTAAACTTCAATAACCTTTTGGGATCGTCTAAAGACTGAACTTTGATCAAAAGAAACCCATTAATCATCCAGCGCTTGATCCCTGCCATCCCATTACTTGAGTGATTCAGTGAATTGCGTCCTAGGGTCTATAATTGATTGACATGGCCCTGCTGAACAAGAAACCATAATTACCGTTGGGTCATCCAACAAGCCACAAAGAAACTACCATCAATTATTTTGATAACATAACTTGAGGAAACACTATTCATGGCTATGTAAATCAAGAAAAGCATACCCATCAAGTTTCTTTTATTTTATATCCATCTTGCATCCACCTTACTACCTATTTGACAACAAAAACATCAAAGCATCCATCTTTCCCTTATTTATCACATTTTTCTTAGTCGTGTATGGCCTAACTGTAGAAGACAACAATGACATATTTCACTCTCACACAGAGTTCGTTTCTTGTCTACTATGTAAAAATCAAGAACCAATAGATGATCTTCAAAAATGACTTGCAAATATCCCATACTCCAAGACCAAATCATGGACTGTTTTTTGAATAGTTCAATGTATTGGAGATACCCCTTCAAGGTGATCCACCGTCTATAAAATCCGTTCTTTATTTCTTTTGATGCACAATAGAAAAAATACTACCCATCAGACCTTCGCAAGCATTAGCCTTTTATCTTAATGAGGTAAGTATAAGTCGAATATCACCGTTGGCTCTGATGGCCAAGGCTTAAAGATAGAAAAGCTTTACTTACCATCAGGTAAGCTCCTAAGCCATTTCTTTAATTTTTTTTAAAAGGCCAAAAATATGTAACCATCTGTGAGCGAATATACCCCATAGTCTCTTATTTCTCTGCACAAACTAAAGATATTTCTACAAGAGTAGTGACTGGTGATGTGATCGCTCGTATACTCTGGAAAAGGTAAATTGATATCACCCCAGATTCAATTTCCCCACATTCCATGTCATCACTCTAATCACCCGTCAAATCCAGCAATCATTCACTGGTTAATTTTTACCAGATAGTGAGAAGATGATTTATGATATAACGTAAGAAAAAGTTAAAAACTGGAACGTGTAACAAGATTCTTTCTTTTCTTATGGCACCGAATTTTGAGAGCATACAGTTTCAAAAAGAAAGTGTAACCTGTGAAGCAGATAGAAATGCAAATGTCATGGTAATTTACGCTATCAACCTTACTCATCACCCTCCAACTTAGTTTTTTGATAATGTATGTAAACTAGAAGGAAAAGAAAAATATTTTCATACTGTACGATAAAATACTCACCCATATTTGGTTTTCATGTATTTATAATGTGGTGAATGCCAAATCTTGTTAAAATAATAAAGTAACCACACATGAAGTCAAGGAGACCTCCCACCTTTTGAACTTCACAGAAATCAACACAGCCTCAAAACCCCAAGAGAATACTAGCTACCCATCTACACCCAAGCAAATCCAACCCAAACTTCACGGAAGCCTCAATGAAGAAATTCTCTCTCTTTCCAGACACAAGCCTTTAATTCTTAAAAGGCTAACCTGGACAACATTCACTTGTCAAGCCTCTCTACAGTAAGACCCTTAATCCTCCTGAAAGATGCTTCTGTTACAAAAAAAACCCTTTCTCATTGATTTCTCCTTTCAATTTACTTCCCTTCTCCAGCCAACTTGAACCATCCCGAGTATAAGCCCTATTTCTGACATAATAATCCTGTTTTTTTTCTCCTGATGAAAATGATTTCAAATATAGCTCTCATTCAGTGGTGAATGGTGGGCGTCCAAAAGGATAGGGGATTTGCAGCGGCTCAAGTCATTAGACAGTGACACGAAGGATTATGAGGCACCATCCTCCGTGTCTGCACAGCCTGACAGCTGAAAGATGATGGGCCAATCTACAGGTGACTCCGTGCAATAACAGTTTTGAAAGGGAGAATAATCAGCTGAAAGAGTATCCAGGACTGTAAACTGCTCTTAATCACGTCTTAAATCCATCATAACACTGCTCTCCAACTTCAGGCATTCATTCTAGTTCTTATGGTTTTGACACCAACCAACGGACCAAATGTAATTCGAATTAACAGTTTAAAGGGAAGGGAAACCTTTCAGCCAAAGGGAGGCACTTCCAGATAAAATGTTATAAATTTTAAAGAACAAATCCTGTCCATTTTCTCCATTTTATACGTAGCGCGTTTTTAAGGTGTGTTATTTCAAGGAACTGGTGACGAATTCTGCTTCTAGCACATGATTATTCTGGACTTTCTAAGCTGCAGCCACGATGTTACAATTTAATCCTCTTTGAAGACCTACAGTACGCAGTAATAACCTAAACAGACATTAAGGACCACAAAAGAGTTGTTTTTCTCCTTCTGGTACTAAAATGATTTCTAGCCTCATTTTTTTAATATTAACTTAATAAAAGGACCGGAATCAAAACCTGAACAAACTATAATGTCAACAAAAAGTTTTTTAACACCCAGAACAGGCCTGACGCCTCGAAAAAAATGCCCCATCCGCATGTCCAACAGTAGTTTTCTTTTCCCTCTATTTGAATGGTCTATGCGTAGAAGCTTTCTTCACACGGAATACGTGATGGTGCATTTCACTAGACGAGGCCAATACAGGATCACCAGTCGCCAATTAACTACATTCAGAAAGAAAAACCAGAAGGAAGTGTACCCAGGACAGAAATCTCGACAGGTAAGGCGATAATCCGATCACAATAAAATTCCACAAAGGTACTTTAAATTAACCGGATTTTCAGAAACTGAAATAAGAATGATGAACTTAATCAAATTCAACTGAGCGGCCGAAAACCTGAGTCATTGAAATAGTTCACCGCAACTCAATCAGATAGAGACTTGAAGAAGAGAGAGATACGGCGGCACCTTCGGATCTCCCTCCTTCTTCTCCAGAATCTGATTCAACACCTCGACGCACTCCGCGAAGAGCCCGCCCTCGAACAAAACCGCTGCATCCTTAGCCATCCCGTACGTCGCCACCAGCACCCCTTCGTCGTCGTCCCCCTGCCCCTCCTTCCCGCTCCTTGACAAATCCCGCGCTTCCATCCGCAAACTAGGAAGGCCCCACCTCGACCCAGCGACCTACCGAGCAACCGGCGAGGAAATCTCCTCCTACACTATCTTTCAATCCACACCAGCAGCGTCCTCCACCCGGTTCCACAACCTCCAGCAGATGGCTCTCTCCTTGCTTCCTCGCTTTCTTTCTACTTCTGCTACCGATTAGCAGAACACAGTCCCACAAGAAAAGACGGAGAACGAAGAGAAAGGGGGAGGAGAGAGAGAGAGAGAGAGAGAGAGTGGGCCCAACTTCAGCCCGTTAATGGGGTTCTCCCTTGGACTCGTCGCTATTAGTATTTGGCAGGTTAAATTTGGACGACTGATGCTGACGTTCACAATAATATCCAACTAGAATATTTCTGGGTCCAGTGTCTCGCAGCCCAGAACGGCCCAAAACGGCCCAGTCCGACCCCTCTCTCCCCTCTCTCTCTCTCTCGCCTTTTTCCCCCCTCCCACCAACTTTTGTAAAAGATGGCGTATATCTTCTTTTTTTTATCGGACTTTAGTGGAAATAAGTTAAAAGCAACGTTCAAGTTGTAGATATACAATAAAAACTTGGAGACATTTTTTAAAGGATAAGAAATGAAATATTTGCATCAGCGTTATGGTAGTTTTGTATATTTTAAGTTTTATTTTCCTATTTTTAAAAATTAATTACTATACATTAACTCTTGGCTCCATGAGAATTCGAAATATTACTTTAATTATAAGAACAATAAAGAAACTCGAAGAATCTACTTACCTGAAAAACTTATTCTTACCCATTTGATGAATATTTCATGTACTAGTCTTTGATAGTCACTAGAAAATATTCATCATGGAGGGGAGTTATGATATTTAATAAAAATACAACACATATTTTTTATCAAAATAATAACGTCCTTATTAAATTGAAACAAGTTTCAGTCATCTTTAGTCTCTATCTACCAATCAAAGTATTGATAATGGTGATAAGATTTCTGTTAATTATTATTCATTTTAGCTTTATATATATATATATATTAATGTGCTGAAATATTTTCTTTGTCCTCAATTTATGTGAATAAAATCAACGCATTTCTGATGCTGGATTATTTTATGATACAAATTTTTAAGATCATCTCTGATTTTTCTTTTTCTTTTTGTCAATTTTGATTTAATATCTGCTTGATTTCTCATTTTCCGACATAGATTTAAAAGTATGCTTATTTTTATTTGTTGGAGAATCAACGAACCCGGGAGCAAAAAGCCCATCCACATGATCCTCTTCACAAAGCATGCTGCAAGGATAGTCCGGCGGGGAGGGAGGGAGAGAGAGAGAGAAGACGGCTAGTGGATAGTAAGGGAGCAGAGATGGTCGGTTTTTGGGGACAGAGAGAGAAAGAGAGAGAGAAGACGGCTAGTAGATAGTAAGGCAGCAGCCGAAGATGACTCTGGGAAGGTTGGTTACAGACATGGTCGATAGTTGGGGGGAGAGAGAGAGAGAGAGAGAGAGAGACAGACAGACAGAGAGAGAGACAGACAGAGAGACAGTAATAGAGCCTGAGATAGAGAGATTGAGGTAAAGAGAGATGAACATGGAGAAATATTGACGGAGAAAGAGGATAAGAGAGAGATAGGCAGATACAGATAGAGAGAAGAGAGAGCAATTAATAGAGAGACAGAGAAAGATCGATATACAGAGTGATACAGGTAGAGAGAAAGAGAGAGAGAGAGAGAGGTCAGCGGGGCAAGCCCAAAGAAAGCCTGATGGAGGGGAGTTTCTGCCGGTAAATTTATGCAAGTACAAATTTATTACTTACATGCATCATAAATGGGATACGTGCCGATAAATAGAAAAAGGAGAGAGAGAGAGAGATGGAGAATAGGAGAGAGAGAGAAAGAGAGAGAAAAGAGATCTCAGAGAGTGCACCTGCCGGCGTCGCGAGGTCTCTCCCTGTAGTTTCCCACAGCTTCATTGAACTGCAACAAGAGAAGAGCTCCGTTCGCCGTTCAAGAAAGCTGTGGAAGATTACAAGGAGCACCTTTCGGCGGCGGAGCCTCTGCCGTTCACCGGGACAGGGAAGAGAGAAAGCCCGGCGGCGGTATTTATAGAACCACCACCTCGCCAGAAAGCTCCCCATCCCGAGAACACCACATCATTACCCACCTACCCCATTATTAAATTAATTAATCATCAGCCCTCTTATCTAATTATGTTCTCTGTGCCAATTCTGGGCCCCTAACATGGTTGACCCTCTGGTGGCCCCAGAGCCAGGCCTAGGCCCTCTTTCATTGACACGTGGCAGCTTCTACCTCGCTCTCTCTCTCTCCCTTTCTCTGCCTCGCTCTCGCTGGGGTCGGGCGTATCAGGACTAGGGTCAAATGGGTCCGGCTGTCCAGATTCGGATCGGGTAGTCCAGACAGAAAATTATTATCTATTTAAATTTTTTCTCTTAATATTATCGTTCTATCTTGTTTACTCGGCTCCAAATATATTTGATTTAATTTCATGTTTGGCGGTAGGATGGATCGCGGGAATAAGATAATCCAGTCTGTATCCCGCTGTCGAAGATGCGGGCGGGGTTTTTCTAAAGGCTGACGAGCTGGGCCGATCTTGTCCGTCCATCACGTCGGCTGGAAGAGGCCGCAGGCGAATCAGAAGGTGGGGATCCTCCCTCATCACCGCTTGACGAGAGTGCATGTTACCAGGACCATTGTTAATTAGAAAGCAGACATAGGCTGACTCAACTGCGCTTCACGCCACCTCCCGGCGTTCCCGCTCACGTGCGCCCACGTGGAGCTCGCCCTCCCCCACTGGAGAAACGCAGAATCTGCAAGTTTTAGTAGTATTATTTTCGTTTATTAACCTTTTAGATAAATTGCATAGAATAGATCTCCGTTATCTGATTTTATATCCTCACCAAAAGATATTAATAGCACATATTATTAAAAAATTATAAATCATTTTTTAAAATGTAATTTTGCTTCCCTCCTAATTCACGATATTTTGTATGGATTTTTATAGAAATTTATTTTGATTTAAATAGGTTCGTCGTATGGATAAATATTATTTATATATAATTTAATTGGCGCTAAAATTTCCTCTTTAAATAAATTAAAATTTCGGTCTAACTTATCTATGCACTACTTAATCCTAACTTAGGCCGTTGACGCCTCTCTCTCCAAATGGCCTTGGATCTAAGAGGATTAGCCCATCGGTAAGTTGAAGTCGATGTTAAGGAAGCAATAACCTCTCTCTACCCGTCAGCAGATCATTGTTAAGGAGGCAATGATTGGGAATCGAACCCGCGTCTTCTCTTTGGCAAGGAGAAATTTTACCAAAGCGATTCCCATAGTAGCGGCGAGCGAAAATTAGCCACACGTCTCCATCCTAAATACCCATTACAACTATTAATAGATAATTTACCGTTTTCAAATCATGCCCAGATTTGCCCTTTTTTGTCCATAACTGGGCTTCGTAATCTTTCTTCATTCGAAATATTTAGTTATTTACTACCTGCACGAAAAAATAGTAGATTTTGCTCTTCATTCGAAGATATAACGTCTCATATGTGCATTTGGCTATCTGGAGATAATATTTGGCTAAAAGGCCCCTTTGCTTGTTCCACAGCCTTGATAACCGGGTGATCTTGAGCTGGGGTTTGGACAGCCATAGCGATAACCAAGGGGGAGGGAGAGGAGGCAGAGCGAGAGAGAGAGAGAGAGAGAGAGAGAGAGAGAGAGAGAGAGAGAGAGAGAGAGAGAGAGAGAGAGAGAGAGAGAGAGAGAGAGAGAGAGAGAGGGAGGTGTTTCTAAGTCGTGGCTTGAAGGAGTTTCAGACTCGGACCGGCCCGGTCCGTTTAGACAAACCCGGAGGTGAGAGTCTCAGCTTCTTGGTCCGATAAAAATAAAACCTCCGGCTTGTGGCTTTCGCAAAGGGTGGTTTCTCTAGGGATTCCCTGCCGCCGCCGGGAGCGTTGCCGTTGCATCGCCTGCAATGGGGAAGGCGAAGGGGAAGGACCGCTTGGACAAGTTCTACCATCTCGCCAAGGAGCAGGGGTACCGCTCCCGAGCCGCCTTCAAGCTCCTCCAGCTCGATGACAAGTTTCGGTTCCTCCACAATGCCCGCAGCGTCCTCGACCTCTGCGCGGCGCCCGGTGGATGGCTTCAGGTTGCCGTCGGCCGAGCACCGGTGGGCGCCTTCGTCGTCGGCGTCGACCTCTTCCCCATTCGTCCTGTCCGCGGGGCGCTCTCCCTTGTCGATGACATCACGACTCCACGCTGCCGTGCCGCCATCAAGAAGACGATGGCGGACGCTAATCGAGGAGGGGGGTGTGTTGCTTTCGACGTCGTTTTACACGACGGGTCGCCCAATGTTGGCGGGGCGTGGGCGCAGGAGGCGACGGCGCAGTCGGCGCTGGTGATTGACGCGCTGAAGCTCGCCACAGAGTTCCTGGCCCCTAAGGGCATTTTTGTCACCAAAGTAGGCTTCTGTTACTTTTCCTAGATAGTTCTTTTTTCTCATCTCTATGGTTTGAATCGAATTGAAGTTTCGCTTGCTTACAATTTTTATGATTTCAAAATAACCCATTAATGTTAATCTCTGATGGATACATGATTCTGCCTCTCTGGGTGTGATAACCCCAGTTATTCCCTGTCCTAGGTGATTGCCAGAATCCCTGGTCTACAAACCTCGGGGGTTGGCTTTAATTGGGTTTTTTTAAGGCTGGCACTTGCATATTCACCGTGTCTATGCATTGGTCTCGTTGTTTTAATTGACGTTGCGTTAGAAAAGAATTCATCGGAATGTTGGGTGTTCTTGCTCTAAAATAATTCAGTGATCGGAACGGTTTTCCTCTGTGTCGTAAGTGGTATTTTTATCTTTACCGTTCATACATGTGTCTAATGTGTTTCTTATCTTTGGTCAGGTTTTCAGGTCGCAGGACTACAGTGCTGTCCTCTATGGTGTCAAGCAGGTGAAAATTTATTTTTCTCAATTTTTTGTCTTGGTTCTTGCGTGCTTCTTGTTGACCTTTCAGAGTGTTGCACATTGTACAACAGCTTTTTGAGAAGGTGGAGGTGACTAAGCCAATAGCCAGTCGTTCCTCCTCTGCTGAAATTTATATTGTTGGTCTAAGATATAAGGCCCCAGGAAAGATTGATCCTCGTCTTCTTGATGTCAAGCATCTTTTCCAAAGTTCAGTAGTCCCTGCCAAGGTAATAATTGCAAGTGTTTATTAATTAAGTCTCTGTTTTGCCTTTTTTGCAATATACCTTAGGGAATCTTCCACTTCTCAACATAGTGAATATCATTGTAGGTCGTGGATGTTCTGGGGAAATCAAAGCAAAAGCGACATCGTGATGGGTAAGCCGCTTTTTGAGTGTTTCCTCAATTGAAACGGTATCCGCTGATAACATGTTGAGGCTAGGCATCGCTTACCCCCATTTTGGCCATGTTATTTCATAGTTGTTCTCTTTGTTGTCTTTAATGATATGCCCATGTTAGCAGATTATCTTTCTTCTGACATACTAAGTTGCATATCAATAGCTCAGGAAGAATGCAGAAATTCTGATGACGATGTAGGGACTGGATTTCCTGTTAGTCATGTGCGTGGAGCAAAATCCGATACTGAAAGTTTTTTGAGCTAGAAAAAATCCATTTCATCTATAAGAAAATAATGAAAAAGAATGGTATTTGAATGGCCAACGAATCAGTTTTCATACGAGAACCTCTTTTTTAGAAATAAACGTTGTTAACTGTTGATGCATTGCAAAGAAACTGGTAAACACAAGGAATATATTAAAAAAAGTTAATATCTCTTAAAATGATCTACCCATGGTAATAGTTCCTTGTATCACAAATCCATTTTACCCATTTTAATTTGCATATCTCTATAAAAGAGTGGTATGCGCGGAATGGGTTTTATCATACTATATTCTTCATTTTTATCTGTTTCTAGTCCGTCTGAATATCAAACTGAAAGCATATTTATTTTGAAGCTAAAGATTAGGTACGCTTAACTTCCACGCACTAGTTTGGGGACGAGAAAATTGTGAGCCCTTTCAAAGTTTGTCATCTTGTCTTAGGGACGGGACAGAATTACATATCATTTCAAAGTAACCAATGGAATACAGCATTTGCAAGGAAAATAGTAAAATTTTACCTCTGTCATGGATAAGTAGAGAAACTACGTTTATAAAGTTTATTAGTCACCTAGAGAAAAATAAAAGGCCTCCACACCATTACTCAACTAATAAAGAGTAGATATGTGGATCTATTTCCATCACTACTTTCGTTACTTTATGTCGTATTTGTGTTCAAGGTGCTTTATGCTGCATCTTTCATGATAACCTCCATACTTGAAAATTTTGATTTTGATTTTGATTTTTTTTCTTTTAAACTCTCGTAATAATGATGTTCATGTCTCTTGGTAAGTGTTCTTGATAATTTTCATGACTATGTCTATACTATCTCCAAAAGCTTTCCTGGGCGTTCAATGTTAGTTGCACATATTCACGTGGTTCGTAGATCACTAATTACTGTCATCAGCATCCTTATTGTTTTCTGTTCCAAAACCGTCTCAGCTCCTTGCAGAGAGCATGACTACTGCACGCCATTACGGATTTGTCTTCAGTGGTCTCACTTTGATGTTTGGTACACATGTACATTATTTCATTGTTTAGTCAAGCTGTGGTCCCCAGCTATAAATTATTTTCCTTTTCAGATGAATCCACTGTTCTTCGTAATAAGTTGTGGACACTGTTTAGCCCTCGTTTTAATTATAGCTAAATCTAGCTGATGTTCCTCCTTTATTTTTGAAAACTATTCGTCCTGTCGAAGTTGTATGCTAAGCTAAACTAAAGAATCATATTTTCAGACTGATATGGTGAACAGCTTATTTTCTCCCTGCTCACTCCTAACTGCAATGATGTTTTGTTTAAGAATAACACTTTTAGAAGATCCTCTAATATTAATAAAAGAGGACAACTATTCCACGGCCATTGGACGTACAAAATCCCAACCTCCTATATTATCCATCCTTGCTATGCAACATTAACAATGCCACTATCCTCAACCCACTCTTGATCCATCAGTATGAACGATGACTCATATTATTAAGATATAGCTTCTCCAAGGTGAGTAGTATATATTTGTCATTGGCTACCTACGTTTTGTAGAACTAGCTCAACAACTACAATGGGTTATCATATGTTCTTTAAAATCTTGACGACTGAGCGTATCAGTCACCATTTGATTGATGTTTACTTAGTCCCACTATTCTGTCTACGCCATTTTGATGCCTGATATACGTCATGAAGTATGTCTACGCACATTTTGATATACGTTTGGACATAAAAGTTTAATCATGCCTCTGGAAAGTAGGCTATTTATTTTCTAGGATGTTATGACTTTTCGTCGCCTGTATATCCAATTCCAGACAAGACATTATGTTCACAAAACCAATTCCAAAGTATATCCTATTGTTTTTTAGACCTTCTTTGAATTCTAGAGTATCACTTTTTTAATACGATGATCTGAATGGCTGAACTCATCTGCCATTTAGGAAAGGGTGCTTACATATGTTTATCTTGTGGTAATTTTATTGCTTTGCTTTCTTGTGATGGATACATTTTTTTATTTAACTTCGTTTTTCACTTACATTTTCTAGGTTAACGATCCTGATAGTTTTCTGCTATTCTTTGATTCTCATTAAGAATCGTTGATGCAGAAGATGACATTACATATTTACTCATGACATGGTATCATATTCAAATAATGTACATTTTTAATGTGACTAGAAAAGAATTCAATCTTATTTTTCTATCATTTGTTGAAACATTGTTATGCCTGATGTTTGTTTGATAGTTTCAAAATTTTGGATCATTAAGAATAGAATCAACCACTCATATTTGTTATTCACGATTGAGTTGTGATTTTGTTGCCATGTTAGGCTTTCGTTGTTGTTTTATGTATTTCCCGTTTACTCAGAGGGGAAAGATGGGTTGCGATCGCCATGTTAGGCTTTTGTTGTTGTTTGATGTGCTTCCCGTTTGCTCAAATGGGGGAAATGTGGGTTACGAGAAATGTTGGAAGGTTTTATCTGGATAAAGTTTCTGATATCAGCGAAACTGTTTGTCTTCTAACAGATATGAAGATGGAGTCTCAACTTTGAGGAAGGTGGGGTTTGCTTCCGACTTCATTTGGTCAGAAACGCCCCTGGAATTCCTTGGGACAGTAAATGTAATATCTTTTGATGACCCTGCTTGTGATTCCATCAAAGACAATGAATTAACAACTGAGGAGGTAATTTTTACATATGATCATATATTTTTCCTTGCAGCTTTGTTTTTTGTTCTTGTAAAGGATTCAAACTGCATTGCAGGTTAAGCTTCTATGTGAGGATTTGAATGTCTTGGACAAACATAGCTTTAAGCGCCTATTAAGGTAAAATATCTTCATCCTCTGTCTATATCTTCAAAACTTTCTGAAGACATCTGCTGCCTTCTTTTTGACTATTTAGTCTTCTGGCTATTGATTTGTTCTTCTGTTATTCCTTAGTTATTTCGAAATTAATCGCCTGTTTACGTTTTTTATCCTCTTATTCTTTTATATGATTAATTAATGTTTCTCAGCATGGGTCTTCTAAAACTTTGAACAAAAAGTTGTTGTTGATTATATATATGGATATTTTAATTGCTTTTTAATTACCCTAATGATTCTGCATCTTATTTCTAGATGGCGAATGAAGATAAGGAAAGATCTCTCTCCGGAGAAAATTGCTGACAAAACTACTGAAGAGGACAAAGCCACCAAGGGTGATGAGGAAGAGCAAATGCTCAATGAAATGGAAGAGTTGGCTAATGCTCTGGAACGCAAGAAGAAGAGGAAGAAAAAGCTCCTGGCAAAACGTCGTGCAAAGGTTCGATCGCTCTAGGCTTCGAAGTCATTTTTTATCAAGCATAAAATATGTACTACATAGTAAAAGCCAAATTTTGTTTCTAAACGTTTCTCTGAAGAAATATAGCTAATAATGATTCTTAGTAATCGAGTGTAGAAGCTTCAACAGTGATTTCTTCTCTTAATCTTCTGCCTCTGATTTTATCATTTTTGTAATGATATCTGCAGGATAAAGTGCGGAAAGCTACTGGGATACAGATTGACGCCACATTGGATAGCTATACTGACCATGAATTGTTTTCTATTTCGGCCATGAAGGTTTGAAGATACCTTCCTTTCTCAGTTCGGTCATTGCTGGTGCTGTGAGACTGTTTCTCGATCATTATTTACTTTAAAAAATAACGATATATGATGCATTCTAGGGGAAAATACTTCTTGTTTGACACGGTAAGGATAATCTTAGGACTTTTCTTCGGTCCACAAAGGGCTGATCTGAGCCTGGGCCTTGCCAAGGCAGCCGAAACCTGATCATGTTTTAAGAGACCCTAGTCCTACCTAGGCTCAGAGAAAAGCATCTCTGGGGTGTCCCCACATGAAACCACAGCCAGGCCCTCTCTATTCCCTTTTCTGAGAGAAAGACTGGGGAGGGAGGAAGACGGACTGCCACGCAGGTGAATATGAACAACCATGTGGCTAGGAAAATGTGCTCTGAGGTTATGGGCCAGGACCCCCTCAAAACCTGCGCTGAGGCTGGGCCAGATCTGTGCCTACTTTTATTTTTGGGCTTGGTTTTGTTTCCTGAGACTGGGGAAATACCTAGCTGTGTTGGGTTGGGCTTTTGGCTGATCTGATACAATGATATTCTAACACCTGGGATGGTTTCTATGTTCCCTTCTGTTAACATCTCTAACGGTGTATCGCTTCGCCCTCCATACTCACCAAAGATGTGCTGAATGAGATGTTTTTAACGAATTAAATCTTATTCTTCAGCAAAATTTACCTGTTCTTGTCTGATTTTTTGTCTATGTGCAGGGAAAGAAGAGCTTAGTTGCATTCGATTCGATGGAGACTAGTGCTGAAAATGATGAATTTAAAGACAGCGACGAAGAAGAAGCTCGTGCAGAGGATACTCCCGAGGACAGTGATTCTGACGAAGAACGGAGGAGGTCATCTTTTGTTCCTCCGAGATATTCTTCTTCTTCTTCTTCTTCTTCTTCTTCTTCTTCTTCTCTAGCTGCCTTTTTGATCTACTTGTTTCAAATTCGAAGGAGAGATTATGCTTTCTGTCACCGAAAATAGGAACACATTGCTTGATGAACCTGATCCCCACTTCTCCAGGTATGATGCGCAGCTGGAGGATCTGCTCGACCATGCTTATGAGCAGTATGTGACCAGGAAGGGGGGGACAATCAAGAAACAGAATCGGGGGAAGAAGACTCCTGGCAGCGATGCCGAGTTGTTGGAGGTTTAATTTTCTCCCGAGCTCTTTATTATTAATCCGAGAAAATCAGTAGCAGTAAATATTTTGTTTTTTTGGGGGCAACTGTGGTGCTCCCCCATTATTTTTATTCTTGATCAGTCTCCAACGCTTCATTCCGGGCTTTTATTTGTTCTCTGATTAATTGATTTTTTTTTTCCTTTTTTTTTTGTTCAGGGTGGTGCTGACGATGAGGATTTGATCCATTCTGCTGACGTTGACTCGGACAGAGATGAGGGCAATGTGGAGATGAATCCTCTTGTTTTGTCCCTCCACAATGAGGACCAGCCGTCAAAGGAGGAGATCACTGAGAAGTGGTTTAGCCAAGATATCTTTGCTGAGGCCATCGAAGAGAACATGTTTGCAGATAGTGGAGAAGACAGCGACGGAGAAATTGCCGAAAAGCCCCAAGAAAACAAGGATTTGAAGGTGAAGAGGGCGTCCGAGAGGGAAGTGGCTGACAAGAAGACAGCTGCCCGGCAGAATGATTTTGAGATTGTTCCAGCGGAACCTGTGAAGTCGAGTGACGAATCCTCATCGTCTGAAGAGGATGATTCCGAAGATGATCTCGACGATGATGAGAAGGCCGAAACCCTGGCCTATGCAAAGAAGATGCTGAGGAAGAAGACCCGGGAGCAGATCATCGACGATGCCTATAACAAGTACCTGTTTGACGATGAAGGGTTGCCGACGTGGTTTATAGACGAGGAGAGGAAGCATCGGCAGCCAATGAAACCTGTGACCAAGGAAGAGGTTGCCGCCATGAAAGCCCAGTTCAAGGAAATCGACGCCCGACCGGCCAAGAAGGTGGCGGAGGCCAAGGCACGGAAGAAGAGGGTAGCCATGAAGAAACTGGACAAGGCCCGGCAGAAGGCCAGCTCCATCTCAGACCTGACGGATATTTCAGATCGTTCGAAGAGTAAGATGATCGAGCAGGTGTACCGGAAGGCGGTGCCGAAGAAGCCCCAGAAGGAGTATGTTGTTGCTAAGAAGGGGGTCCAGGTGAGACCGGGCAGTGGGAAGGTACTGGTCGACCGACGGATGAAGAAGGATGCGAGGGTCCGGGGCTCGGGCAGACATGGGAAAGGGGATCCGAAGAAGGGTGGCAGAGGTGGGAAGGGCAAGGGCGGGAAGGGCAAGGCCCCAAAGCGGAAAGCTCCAGGAGGGGGTGCTGGGCAGATGCCGAAGAACAAGAGGGGCAGGGGAAACTAGGCCAGGCCGGGATGATTGATCTCTCGGCTATCTTCCTCCAGTCTGAGGGGCTCTGTTGACCTTGTTCTTGATGCTGTTATTGGTTTGCCGCTTCTTCAGGCTCCATTGGAGACCCAGAATTTTGTAGAAGAAGGCTTTCAATTTACATCTTTGACTCTCGTTTCCTTATATTAAGTATAAAGTTTCCATCAATGTTGAGGCAGCATCTTGGTGTTTTTGTTGCTGGAGTGTATGCTAGCGCTGATTTCATCGTGTCCGTGTACAGACAGTTTACTCCCCTCTCTCCCCCCCTCCCCCCTCCCTCTGTGATTGTCCGGCTCGGGTCATAGTCTATTTTTTCTTTTGTCGTAGGTGAGGCATAGATGTGCAACAAGTGGATGCGAAGCTTGTGAATGAAGTTCCATCTGACCCAAAGAAAGAGTAACAACGACAAGTGCACATTGAAACGATGGACCTTTCTTAATGTTACGTGTTTATTAGAACTTGTTAGACTTATTGGGGTTGATATTTCAGAGGTATCAAGAGAGAGAGAGAGAGAGAGAGAGAGCCGTAACTGTTATGCCGACATGTACCTGGTTTCATACTGAATTGTTATTGGAATCTTTCACGATACACATTTAGAACAACTTTGTGGTTGTAACCTAAAAAAGTGCTGAAAATCGTCGTCCTTATCTTCAAGGGGGGGAGTAGTCATCATTGGACACGCATAGTCCTATAAAATCAAAACATAAATTTACTATCTAAATATTGCCTTGAACAAATGGGAAGAGATATCCACTATCATACATTATTTTTTAGCTAAAAAACGAAGTCTTGTGTTGGGTGATGCTACCCAGGAACCTTGACTGATTCTTTTATCAACCCAGGTATCAAATGTGTACTAATTTAACGCGACCCTCACAATTTTGCTATTTTTTGATAATTGAGCAAAAACACATTTTACAAAGGAGTCGGGTGTTTTAGGCATGGAAGGTTTACTCTTGGCCTTGAACTCTTGAATTGGTTGTCTTGCGGTCTTTAGTGGTTGAGTATATTTATCATCAACAACAACTACTGCATGTTGTTGACACGATGGGTAATAACACGTTGACTTGATGCTGGGCACACGATTTTTTTTAGAGTCCTTGTCATAAAGATTGCAATGATCATATCCTTGATAGCTTAAAAGGCTAGTGGGCCCACAAAAAAAACTTTGAATCATGTTGTTCAGTCTGGTTTTGTCCTCGATTTAGTTCGAGTTATTTTGAATGCATTATTTTCAACCACTTAATTATATGTTAGGCATACAACCATGAAATTCTTATTACACTCCACGATTTATATTTTAATGTCTATAATGGTACCATCATTTGTTGTGATTGTTGGAGCCTTATGATGGATTAAATATAGTTTTCGAAGATCTAGTTTCAAAAAGGTAGGTTTACAATATGAGATGTTTTGTCTAGTAGTTTTAAAGCTCATAGACATGGGATGAACTTTCAAGGTCCAGATCTTGGGTAATTAGTTAAATTGTAATTGATCACAAAGGGTGGACGCATTGAAGGAAACAAATGAAAACCTTCTCTTCTTTTATCTACAGTCTTTCCGTTTCCAATCTTCAAATATCTCATATTTTCCTCTATTGTAATTTGGGGACACAATTAGATCATTTACCAAATAGACTTAGAATCTCGTGCGAATTAATAGAGCTGATTCCCACATTTATGTTGATGACCTGGAAGATGCTAAGGACCCTGGCCTAATGTCTGAAGATAAGGGGGATATTAACTTGACAAGATTTGTGATGTAGTAATGTGCTTTGTTAGTTCTAATCTTTTTTGTTATATTTCAAATTGAAGGTGGTGCTTCTAATATTTGAACTAGGGAAACCTTACTGCATACCAAGCAACTGTTGGCTTATTTGAGCAACCATATTGCTTGTCCTGATCATCACAATTTAGAATTGTGGACCCTATCATGTTGGTCCAATCATTTATTATTAAAATGGATATTATATCTCTAGTGAGGTGGTGGCTAGAACCCTAGTTAGAAGAACTAGAATTGAAAAGAAATCATTCTATTGAGTAATATAACTCAGGTGATGAAAAGAGTCGATCCAAATACGAAAAGATAATGAAATTTGATTGCCATAGAATCATTAAATCCAAAGGAGCCTATTATCTAAAGTTGGGGTTTGTAGTTAAAAAGGTGGCGGATGAAGAAAAACATAATCATCTAGAGAAATAATGAATACTTTCCCTCCTCTCCAATATTCTATTCACCTAAATTTTCCATAATTCAAATCACTCCCTGCTACTCGTGTCATTTAATTTCCATGTCATGTTCCAATCATCTCTTCCGTTTGAAGGTTAATTTGTGCATCACACCCTCTTTCTAGATAAATGCTAGTACTAAGTATGGTAGTTCAGCCTATTGTGTCATAATTTCTGATCTAAATCATTATGATACAATTTACCGTTTCAAACACATTGGGATCTAGGAGTGTATGGATAATGTTATATGTAAAAACTTGCATTCTTAGAAGGTTTTACCCTATTCACTTGAATAATTTTTTCCACTCATGTCTCATTTGTGAGAAAATCAAAGCTATTTTTCTATATAACCTAAGGATTATCAGGACATAATAATATTAATGGTGATACTAGTACTGATAATAATCATAATATGATCAGAGCATTGCTTCAATGATGGACATAGTTACTCTATAAAGATAATGATTCTCTAGATCTAAGGAGCTTGACAAAAAAATATATATTAGCTAAGTTGGCACCCATGAAGCATTGGTTGTATTTGAGGATGCATTAAGGCCACACACCAATCGCAATAGAGAGTGGATAATCTGAAGTAGCGGGTATGTATATTTCCATAGGTGGGATAAGTTAAACGCAATATTTCCAGGTAATTATGAATTTGAATAAAGTTTGTAAGAGATATTAGGCTGCTCGACATTTATTGATAGTGAAATATTTAATATGAATAATATTAATTTTTTAAAAGCATGATTGATAAAAACCCTATGAATATACAACAAATTCAAATCCAATCTAGTTAACAGATCGAATGAGTTAGAAAACGTATAAGAGAGCACAATAGGATTCCGTTTGAGTCAGAATTAGATATGGCAAAGTGTTTAGCCCTCCTCTAATTATCCTTTAAATAACCCTCCGATTATCCCCTTAAATGGTTCATGAACTTGGGGAAATAATGACGGAAGTCTTTTATCTTTTATTATCTAAGTTTATACTACAAAAGAGTATGACGGAACTCCTTTTACGTGGCCGTCGTTAGACGACGGTGATGAGGAGGGGGGTGGCTACTACATGCGTGCCGGAGTACCACCACAGCCGCCCCCCCTGGACGTCCCCCCGAATCACCGCAGCGGAGGAGTTATCGAAGGAGAAGGTCACCGTGAACCTCCGCCGTTGGCCTCGCCTCCAGAAGAAGAGCCGGCGGGGGGAGACCTTCGCTGTCACCCCCGGCGGCAGCTCCACCTTCGCCCGGTACGTGGAGGTGGAGCACTGGAGAACGTTGGTCAGGGTTCGCCGCACGGTTGCCGTGTCGCCGGGGGAAGATGCCGCCAGCCTTGCCGCGATGGACGGGTAGTTCAGTTGCTCCGGGGTGACCTTCCCGACTGCGGCGCACTGCACCGAATAGCCGGCGGTGATTGATGCCTGCGTGTCCGTGTAGCCCAGACCGCAGAGGTAGCGGACATAGTCGCCGAGGTCAACGTTGTAGACGAGTCCGGGGTCGGTGGCCCTCGGCGGGTCGACCTGCCCGGCGCCCGTTGCGAGCAGGTTCGCCGCTGAGCCGGTCTGGTCGGCAATGGGGTCGCCGGCGCGGTCCATGAGCGTGGTTGTGGTCATGATCGCTGACCGAATCATGGCCGGCGTCCAGTCCGGGTTGGACCTATTCACGATCGCCGCGACGCCGGCCACGTGGGCAGCGGCGACGGAGGTGCCGGAGTCGAGAAAGAAGCCTGTCTTCGTCGTGTGCGATGCCGAGACGATGCTTACTCCGGGGGCGAGCACGTCGGGCTTGAGGATCCCCCCGTTGACGGCGCTCGGCCCCCGCGAGGAGAACCCAGCCACGGCGGGGGCCCGTTGCGCCTGGTAGGCGGTGCCGCCAGGGACGACGGCCGCCGTCGGGTGGAGGGAGTGGGCGAGATAGTCGACGAGCTGGAGCGAGGTGTTGTAGTCGACGGCCACGGTGGGGAGGTCGACGTCGGGGAGCTCCGCGATGGTGAAGCCCCTTTTCTGGGAGTTCATCATCACCATGGCGACTCCTCCGGCATCCTTCACGGCCTTGGCCTTCTCTGCGGCGCTGATGTTGCCGCCGGTGTGGCAGAGGACGATCTTCCCGACTGCTTTGACGCCGCGCAGGTCGGAGCACGCCATGGCGGCCGGTAGCCGTTTTGCCGTGGGGTAGACTAGGGGCAATTGGCCGAATATGTTGTCGGTGTCGTCGTGGAAGATAGACTCTCCGGCGAACTCCTGCCCATTCCCAAGACGGAGGGACGCTCTCAGGACCCTATCGGTGGTGCTGGCCGCAACGGTCATAATCCAGGGTGCCTCGTTGCGGAGGGTCCCCAGCGAGGGCCCGTAGTTGCCTGCGGCGGCGACGACGAGGATCCCCTCTCGCACTGCCGCCAGCGCCCCGATCGCCACGCCGTCGAGGAAATAAGGGGCGCCCCCCTCCGGGGAAGCCATGGGGAGACAGAGGACGTCCACGCGGTCGTGGATGGCCTGGTTTATCGCGGCCAAGACCTCCGCCACCGTCGCCGCTTTGTAGATGGCCAGATGCGCCGCCGGGGCCGCCCCCGCCGCCGTCCCGTCGGCATACCCGTAGACCCCGGCGCCTCCCACCTCCTTACCCACTGCCGCTCCCGCCGTGTGCGTCCCGTGCCCATCGACATCGTATGGCAGCGGCTGCGCCGCCTCGCCGCCCCCGGCGTAGTAGCTCCTCGCGCCGACGAGCTTGCGGTTGCAGGTGCGGCGGCCGTAGAACTCGCAGTACCCCCGCCACTTCCACGGCGGGCGCCGTCCCTTGGCGCCCTCGAAGGAGACGTGGTCGGGGTTGATGCCGGTGTCCACCATGCCGACGATGATCCCCTCCCCGCGGTTGGCGGCACGCCACATGTCCGGCCGCAGGCGGAGGAAATCGGGGGTGTGCGTCGTCTGCGGAAGGAGCGCCCGGTCTCGGACCGCTCCGAGGACGCCGTCCTTCGCCGCCATGGTCTCCGCCTCCTCCGGCGTGAGCCTTGCAGCGAACCCGCTCATGGCCCTGCTGTACGAGAAGACCAGCCGCGGCTCGCCGGAGTCGAGAGCAGGGGACGGTAGGAAAGACCGGTGCCAGGCCTCCAGTTTCTTCGGCCCCGCGTACAGCATCCGCTTGGGCTTCCTCACATGGACGATGTACACGGAGGGGTGCTCCGCGGCGCCACCGTCCCCGTCGCCGCCGACCACGGATGACAGCTGGGCACAGCTCGTGGGAAGGTAATGGCTGAGAACGCAGGCCACGATAAGGGAGACGAAGTGTAATCTGACGCGGGGGCCGGAGTGCCGGCAGCGGTAATCATCCTGCATGGCTTCCTTCCCGCTGCGGCGATGCTGGTGACTTTGGGGCAGGCGGGTTACATATTAATAATAATAATAATAATAATAATTAAGACGATGATGTTAATATAGTTAATCTTATCATTAAAATACGTGCTGTATTACGTGTTTCAGCGTTTCTGCATGAGATTCCGTCGCATTGCTGGCTGGCTGGCATCTCATATTCCGCCCTCGCTTTTTTTTTTCTTTTTTCTGCGGCGGCGTGAAATAAAAAAAATAAATATTAAATCTGAAAGACAAAATAAGCGACTCGTGTCTTCCGAAATTAATCTACTCCGATGTAGGAAAATTTACTGGCATTTCATTTCCCATAAAGAAATAATGAATGACCACTGATTACACTGTGAATGCAATATCTCCGCTCGCATTTTCCATATTTTCACATCCTGCAAGTATTAAGTCTTAGAGAAAATAGTCCAGCAATAAATCAGACTTTTTCCTTTTGAACGCAAATAAAGATGAACTATTTTTTTATAATTATAATTCTAATAAATAGACTAATATTTTACGTAACCTTCATTTGCATAAATAATTAATCGGAAAGAAAACAGGGCACGTAAAATAAATTACATTCAAATTCGAGTTGACCTATTTTTGAAAAAATAAAAACGAAATAGGCCAACCCATAATTTGCATAATTTGTATCTTGGAATTAAATGTGTGCCAATTATTCTGGGCTGTCCAATGATCACTCAGATTGTTTGCTGTCTGTCTACAAGCCCCCATTTATAAAGTGTCGGGCCTATTTGAGCCCCAGACATGCCCCGGCCCTGCCTATTCACAGCCCCGGAATGCCAGTTGGCGGCACCCTCCGCAATTATAATAAAATTAAAATGTGCAAAAGGACGTTATCATCAACATTTTTAATTATTGGAGAAGAGCAACCAGGCAGTCCTAAATATTGCACGCTCAAAACACCTAGCTCTCTTCCATCTCTCTCTCTCTCTCTCTCTCTCACACACACACACACACACACACATCTGGCGAGCTGGGCTCGGCGGGGTTGATCAAGGCTGCCCCGAGGCGCCATAGATGATCAGTTTGGAGCTCTTCTCTCGGCCATACAAAATACACGAAGCGTCGACTTAGTTAGTGCTCACAGATAGGCTTGCAGACAGAGAAAGAGGGGGAAAGGTGGATATGGTAAACTAAGCCTCGGCTTCGCTCTCACAGATGGGTACGATTGAGTGATGTGGCTTGAGAAGAGGAAGTAAAAGAAATGGGACCATCTATCAGAAATAGTTATATTTCTGATAATGACGAAACCTTGAAATGAGTTATATTTTATTAATAAACATAATTCAGAATAAATCAATTGAACGTGTGGCATTTCCTCTATTTATTTCTTGAAGTTCGTGTTGTCTCCGTGGTTGATTATTGGTGAACAGATGGCACGCGGGCCAGCTACTGGTTCACTTGATCCGCACGTGCGGAAATACCCCCCCCATGTATCATATGGGGGTGGGTGGCTTGCCGACTTGTCGGAGTTAAGGGATATTGCAGGCCAACATCTCGATCAAAGTCCGCAAAGAGGAAGATAGGGCTTTTTCTGCCTCAGCAGCCCTCGGAGTCGCGCCACTGCAGGTACACGACGGCGCCGAGGTAGTGGGTGTAGGCGGCGGCGACGACCAGGACGTGGAAGAGCTGGTGGCTGTGGCCGAGGATGTCGAAGGTCCCCGGCATCCACCTCTCCGGCATCCTGGAGGAGTAGACGACCGTGGCCAGAGCGTAGAGCACCCCCATCGCCGCCTCGTAGCCGGTGGTCACCAGCGCCGCCGGCCGGTCGCCGAACCTGATCACCTTGTGCATTATCGGCACGACGCCGGAGAGCCCCATGCAGAAGAACACCTTCGCCCGTAACATCCGGTGCTCCGGCCCCTGGAACGATGGAGCAAGAGAAACGGCGGCCATGGCGAGCCCCGAAGCGGTGATCAGACCCAGATAGAGGGCCTGGAAGGCACGGTCGCACATGAAGCTGTAGTAGACGACGGGGTAGAAGGAGGTGACGATGAGAACGGTGATGCCGGTGCAGTCCATCCCCCTCATGACGTACTGGAGGCGACGTGAGTGGCAGGAGAGGAGATGGCAGGCGCTGCTGGAAAGCAAGCACGCCATGGCACCGGCGAGGTAGGTGAAGAACGGCCATCGCGCCACAATTGCGCCGCCGGACCCCGCCGCACCTCCTGCGCAAGGGGAGACTCCGCCTAGGGACCGGCAGGGGAGGAATGGAGGCGACGACGCCGAGCTGCACCCTCTCTGCAGCACTATTCCGGCGCATGCCATCAGAGCGAGGAAGATGAAGAAGCCGATCAGGTGCCTGCACGCATCCACGACGACGATAGTGATAAATGATAATTAATCACAGAAACTTTGGCCATATTATTGCTTCGGACGAAAGTATGCGAGTGGGTAGATAGAGCAGAGGATGAGGGGGGCTGCTGACGTCCAGATGTTAAGGGTCTCATTGTGGATGCAGAAGATGCTGAGGAAGGTCTGCTTGAGGGGCCATTCGGCTCTGTAGTATTTCAGGATAAACTGGTTGTCCTTGAGATATGCCGGGAGGAACTTGTAGTCCACAAGCTCGCACTGGGGTGCCAACTCAGTCAGTCCCCCTTTCTTCTTCTCCTCCATCGCCACCGAGGGAGGGATCCCACTCTCTCTTTGCAGCCCTGGTAGCAACCATTGGCATGGTTGGAACCCCTTTTTAAACCCCAGCTCAGAGAGGGAGGGAGAGAGAGAGAGAGGGGAGTGTCCTTGTCCAGCAGTGGGTGGAGGTGCTGGCAGAGAGTGATACTTCCTGTGAGGTGGTGGGTTCTAGCGTCATGTGTGTGAAGAGGCTGCAACAGCACTCATTTTCTTTGTAAGACATCCATTATGTTTAATTAAACACACACCACGATGTTTTTATTTGTTTTTTTAGATCCTCAGCACCCAGAAGAAAACACCATCCTTCTGCATTTCCTTTTTTGTTCATGTTATGGCTGTCCCCCTCTCTCTCTCTCTCTCTCTCTCTCTCGCCATGAACATATCCGTCCGTCTCTCATTCACCTTCTCCGTGTATCCACCTCTCACTCCGTCTTTGCGCATTTTTTCTTCATAAATAGAGGAGGAATACCCCATCCATGTTGAAACTCACTTTCTAATTGTCACCATTTGAAGGAATTGACAAAAAAGAGGGGGGTCGGTGGGGGAGGAGTCGGGGTAGCATGAGACATTTCATGACTACGTGCTGAAAGATGAGGATCATAAGAGAAATAAGAACAATTTTCTTCTGCATTTTGTGAATTTATCCCCGATTTTCTACCTAGATATGATGGGTTCAGTGCTATTTTTAAGTAAGTTGATTCATGACGTGTTGATAACCAACGCATAAAATACTTTCCCTAAGAAGAACGAGCCAGCATACTGAGCGCCTATAGGCTGTTCGTCATGTCCGAGTTCTAAAATTTTTGGCCTCATTCTATCTCAGAGAGAAAAATAATCCAGGTCCAATTGCGATTCATGCAGGATCAAGACTTCAATGGATTTCGTCTTGGAAATGCCAAAATCCTCATCATCCTTCCTCCTTTCTCTGTCTCTCTCTCTCTCTTTCTATCTCTCTTAGACGGGGGCATTTGGAAGTTATCTAGTCCCTTGCTTCATAGTAGCATTCTCTAGAGTTTAAATTTTATCCTTTTCTTCGGGGTTGAGGAGGGTTTTTCTGTAAATAAAATTGGCGCTCAAATGAAATTGAAGCTGTCTCTTGAAGCTGGGCTAGTGCCTCATTCTCACCTATTTATGTCAATTACTACACTACACTAATTTATTAAATCGATGTTAATATTTCATCTGATACAACATATAATCAGATGAATTGAGAGTGAGGTTGAGAGAATATAATTGCCAAACTTTAAGCCTAGTTTGATAGATAATGGAAAAATAAATGGATCAAGTTACTATGCATTGGATATGTTTTAGATCCATATGTTTCTTATTTTGTTCATCATGGGCTGTGATTCCTTGACTTCTATTAGTTATTATAGAAGAAGATAAAAAAGAAAATGTTTCCTTTCTACACATGAATCCAAACTAAAAGTTCTTGTGATGCTAATATTGTTGGAGTATTAAATGCAAAGGGTTTTGATGATGAAAAATTATTAAAAGAGGAATTAAAATATCAAATTATGCCTAATTTTTAATATACTTGACATGAGGCTAAATAGAAAATTGTTTAGATCTAATCAAAGTAATTAGTTTAAATGTTCATATGAGAATTTCACTGAGTACTCTCATGATCCATGATTGTGAATTTATTTATTTGATTGCTTTAGTCACATGGAATTATTATGATATATATGGCCATGGAAATCATGAGTATTTATAGAATCTACTTCAATAAGAAGATGAGTGATTAGGATACTCAAATAAGAAAAACTTCATGAAGTAAGGTATGACTATGAAAACTAACTCAATTTACTATATACCCATACTTTTATATTATTATGCATGAATGGATTTGATATTGAATTAATTGAATCAAATCATATATGCCCATTCTACAACATATAATTTCTGAATAGTAATGAATATTACTTATAAATTCATTTTAAATATTACAAATCACTAAAGTTATAAATTGAATATTGAGATCATAATTCAAGATGTTTGCTTGATGATCGTATTTTATTTGAAGCAATTCAGTTTTTTATTGTAAAATCATTGTTTTGATAAGATATGAATAATCAAATTTAAGTTGATGATATCACTTATTTATTATACTAGTTTGAACTGATATGATTTGAATATGGATGTTTCATTGATAACACATCATTATTATGAGATAAATATCACATAATTATCATATTATTTGACATATGAATTCATACTAAATGAGATACATTTATGTGAAATAAAATAAAACATATTTTAGAATTACATGAAATACATGCTTAATGAAATATTTTTAGATACTTTTATAACATGTTTACATTTCAAATATTCTTTGATTATACATTAAATCTCTCATTATTAGGGATAAAATCAGAATTTAATAATTAGATTCATTTTTTGATAAAAATAAATTATTTTATTTTTGCAAATTTATGAGAATATTTTTGAAATATTTTCTAATCACTAGGGACATTCTAAAGCCCATTAAATAAGCCCATTAAGTGGTCTATTAGGTTGATTTAGTTCATTATATTAAAATGACTTGAGGAGAGAGAAACAAGTGGAGAAATAGGAGGAAAAATGAATAGAGAAATGAAAGTTGATTCTCACTTAAAATCAACTGATTTCTAAGGAACTTGATTTCTTATTGCCCAAAATCAATTCTAGATCTAATTCAAGTATACATTTTTTTTATTTAGGGCAAAGAAAGGATCATTTTGTTCCTTCTTCTACCAAATGACACCTAGTGGCATTCTTCCAATTCTTCATTGATTTCTTGTGCTGTTTGCAATAAAAATTAATTTTTACTCCATTTCAACTTCATTTTCTCAATTCATTTAGTGGAGAAGTATATGAACAGAGGAAATGATTAGTATTCATGATTTTGCTCAAATTTATTCATCCGCTCAACCATGGCATAAAATGGGGGAAATCATGATGTCCTATCTATTTTTTGTCTGATTCTTTATGTTTGTAAGTTCGTATTTTTCCATTTTCATATAAAAACAAGTCTATACATCAAAATTATGATTATTTCGTCCAATATTTTGAATTCATTCCACTATCTCATCCTTGGTGTCAAAAGGGGGATTTTAAATTTTGTAATCCATTTTAATTTTATTTTCTCAATATTTTCCTTTGTTGAATTGGTTCTAAATCTATTTCTGGCACTTAACCATCTTTTTTTCCCATTTGATTTCATCTAATTTTCTTAAACACATTGTTTGTTTCTCTATCAACAAGAGAACCCATCAACTGAGCTATTTCTCTCTCTTCACACTCTCTGTCATCTCTTTCTCACCTTTCTCACTTTTCTTTCCTCCTATATTATCTCTCTTCAGAAATTAATCTCTCTCCTCATCTCTCTCTATTGATTTATGTTTTATCTATAAATTAAGATATCTCATTTCTTTAATTATTTTTCTTACATATCAAAACTTAATGCAGACAAGAGGAGGAGCTAGTTGATGAACTCAATTTAAAGGTTAAATATGTCATCGTTATGCAACCAAGTTCATGTAAATAACATTTATAAAACCTCACTCTTTGATTTAGGATAAGTAAAGGTCGATCACTCTTCTTATATATATATATATATACTTGAGATTGTGAAAGGTAGAATTAAATCTCAAAAAAGTGAAATCAAGATAAATAAAAGTGTGGCAAAGGAGAGAAAATGGATGTAACGCAATGGAATGATAGAATAAATGATAAAACTAATTTAAATTAAGAGTTAATCTATCAATGGAGAAGATTGCAAGGACACCCTAAATTTAGATCTTGCACAAACTTCGTTATGTGTTAACCATAGGCTAAGTGGTGCTTGACCCATAACGATCTTGATGTGTTCTAGGTAGTCTCTTCTCCACAACGATCTTAAGCACGAGAATGTTGTTGATCGGGTCTTAATTTTACTCATTTTTCCTTCGGCTAGCCACTACTAGAGAAAGAGTAAAAAAGGCCCCCCTCTAAGAGGGAGGCGAGAGGCCTTAAACCTCTAGAGAATTAGGCCCATCTAATAGATAGTTATGATTAATAATCGACTCTCTTAGTGGACGGCCCAGATTCTTCTATGAAGATGGCTCTCTAATCTTTCTTTTAATCTCATCTTAAGATGTCTTAAAATGGGCAACCTAGATCTCATCTCTTGATAATCTTTTTAAGTTCAAATGAGTTAAGCCAAAGTCATGTGCCACTTAAGATTCAAATGGGCCTGACCAAGATGACGCCCTCTCTTGGCTCCATAAATATGAGCTTTTTCATAATTATCTCTTGAGCCGGCCCTCTCTATAAAACTTGGGCTAAAAACTTGAGCTTTTTCTATTACTTCTAACTCATAATAAGAGCTCACCTAATTTCTTGCAATCAAATAATAATCAAGAAAATATGAGAGAATCATCACTTGACTTCATAAAAGTCAAGTAGGGTTAGTCTCATAATATTAATCAAATAAGTGAAATAATATGTATTGATAAGTTTTCATTATCATGAGTTAATAATTAGTAAATAATATAGTTTTAGCCTTAACTCATGATAAATAGACTTATATTTGTGTTAAAGTGTGAAAAGTGGTTTTCAGTTGATTAACCTGAATTTTTGGGTAATTATGTGATTTTATACGATTTTTACAGTCTTACTTTTGAGATAAATAAAGGAAAGGAAATTAAAATAAAAATAAGACAAAATGAGGGGGACCCGCCGGCCAGTTGGGCTCGCAAGTGGGTTAGAAGCGTAGTCGGGGAGTAGCCGTGAGCAGGGGCTCGAGCGACTTGAACCGATGGGGGCACATTACGCCACTCCCCTTCCACGTCACTGGTGGCCAGCCGGCTGTGGGACAAGGAGTGGTGGGACTTTGCTTAGAAATGTAACATTACTATATATTCGCCCGAAACTTTGGTGCACAACCGATGTAGGACTAAACTCGTCACCTTCCTTAGAAGAGACAAGGCAATCGGCGCGGGTTCGAATCCTCCTAGAGCCAAAACTCATATTTTTATCTGATTATCGTGACTTTCCTGCAGATCGCCGGTGAAGGATTAAGCAACTAGAATCGCTAGATTATCGGCAAAAATCTCGTCAACGCGATTCGCGGAGCATTGTTACTAAAATTGCTGAAGGATTCGCGATAAAAGGATCGCAAATCCATCAAGTAAATCATCTCCGATTGATCGACGAACAAGCCGTCGTCGGGAAGAGGACGATCCGCCGGGAGACGAGTCGCCACCTCTTGAGAGCGTACCAGATGCGATGAAGAGCCTCCTCTTGCTGTGCGGACCTAAGGATGAAGCTCTCTGACATGCGCCCCACCTCCATCTAGCTCCTCTTCGTCGGGTGACAGCCGCCAAAGAGCCACAAAGTCGCCGTTTTTCCGCTCTATCGGGTGACAACCGTCGGAAACGATTCGACGACCCATTTCATTAATCTCTAAACTTCGCAAAGAGATCTAAAGATTGCCCACGTCATCTTTGTCCAAGGAGAGCCTTCGAAGCCATAGACACTGCACGACGATCCTCCCGAACGCTCAAGATTTCGGTGTATCGCCGACGCATCGCCATCGCGACGCCGGAACTCTGTTTTCTTGCTTTCAACTTACTTTACGCTTCATTTAGTGATAATTTCTGTGATTTGAATTTACCAAAATATACTTCGTTCACTTACGATTCTTCTAGCTTCTACAGATCTTAATTTGATCGATTAAATCGTCTGTAATCGCTTACGTAAGATTTTTTGGGCGGAACTCTATTTCCGCTCGATTCGCATTCGCCGGGCGCTGATGTCATCCTGACGTCCGCACCCTTATTTCCTTTTTTCGTGAATTTTAAATATATTTTCTTTTCATTTCTTAATATAAAATTCATATAAAATAGTATTCTTTGAGAAAAATTCTGAATAATTACCAGATATTATATTACATCCCCTGTGATCGACCTGAAAAATTACAGCTATTTTTTGAAGTTTTATTGAATTATAATTGATATATTTGTTCAGAAATACTTTTAAATATCCAAAAAATCGTATTTTCTAGTTTTATAAATTTTATATTTGCGTGATTTAATATACAACGACTAAGTCACGTCATGTATTAATACTTAAATAATAAAATATTATAAATGTCATAATGAGTTAGCAACACATGTATAATTATATTTTTTACCTACAAATTAGTATCTATATATAATATATTAATATATAGATGTAATTACTAATTTATAATTATCATTAGTGATGACTGAATTAGCACATATATCTTCTTCTCTCTCTCTTCATTATTTTTTTCATTTTTTTACTTACATTTAGAATTTTTTTAGAGAACATAAGAAATTATCATCATGATTTATTTTCTTCCTAATAGAATCAACTTGAACTCATTACAATTACCTGATTTAGTTTAATATGAATTCAATTTATAAATATTAAATTTGATATCCTTTAATACAATAACTAAGAGACAATCATACATCTTAATGGAAATTTGAATTGATTTCTTTCATGAGGACATATGAATCCCCAAAGGACATGTCATATTAGTTATAGTCATTTGAACATTTGTCTATTAGATGATCATTTAAATATGAAAAGACTATTGAGCTCAATTTCTCTATAAATATGATGCATTTTTAATAGGTTATCATTTATGATGCTTATCTTCATTTTTACTAAGGCATCAACTCCTCCACCAAGTTTTCGAGTAGAAAATCTTAAGTAAAATTCAGAGATCTTTCTCGACCTATTTGAAGGTATAATGACTTCAATCATCTTTTTTTTTCTTGATGAGAAGATAACAACCAAAACCATCTCAAATTTTGACCTCATCATTGAATTTTTAGATGTAATATTAGTCAACATCATTTCTGGAAAACTACCTATGGTGAAATCTTCCTCTTTATTTATTAGATAAATTTTTGATTAAATCCTTATTTAATCACTCAAGGGAGCTGACCTATTAATCAAATATTGGCATCTTAGAACTGGGAATCTAGAAGAGACATCTCTTCTTAGCATATGTCTATATTTTGTAAATGTCAAACCATTACAAAAACATCACCTAAAACCACCTTTGTAAGTGCATATACAAGCATATGTTTGAGTATACAAGTTTTCTCAAAAGCACCATGCAAAGAAAGTACATAAATGATACTTATATTTTCATTATCCACATAATTAGTGATAGCTTAAAAAAAATCAATTCATATCAAGTAGCAAACAATGCTTACAGATGTAAATAGATATTAAAAACAAAACAAAACCATCCATTCTCAAAATAAAATATATAATAATGTAAAAAATTGAAGATAATAGTTCATGTGGATAACCAATGCATCTTTTCAGAATACAAAAGTAAAAGAAAAATTGTTGTGTCTAAGTTAACCTTCAGCTCTATATATTGTCCTATAAATTCACACTAAAAGAAAAAGGCTTCATCATTTCATTCTTCATCTCTTGAACACATATAACAAGTAGATAAAATGAAGGATTCTAATGTGAAAAATAGAAGATTCGCCCCAATACTAAAATATATCTTATGCAAAAAAATTCAGAATTAGGCAACTACTACTCTTGAAAAACCCCATTGGGAGGTTTTCCTATCTAGAGATGGAGCCCAAATTTTTAATGCTTATCATTCCATGTTTCACATGGAGAATCATTGACTGAATTCATTGAAGGATCATTGAAGCTATCTGAATTTCTATGAGAGGGGAGACTTGTAAATGCATCCCAACTCTTTAGGTAGTTGAAAAAATATTGATTCGTCTACTTGGCTTAAAGATGAAAATCATTAGGAATATGAGAAAAAAATGTAATATGCATAAATGAAGTTTGGTACATAACTCATTATCACTCAAACTGGACTGTTGTGGGCTTTAAAATGCCCCTATTCATTAGCTTAGTTATCCCAAGAACATGTTGTCACCTCAAAGAAATGCAAATAATACTTAAATATAAATCTATTTTTAGGCAGAAAATTATCACATATGAGTTGATTATCTAATAGATTCTATGCCCACTCAACCCTATGCTTTTCATTTTTCCATCAACACATTAGTTATTCCTCTAATGAAAAATAATTGGGTCATGTTATTTCATTATACCCACTTTGTCTCAAGAATTTGTTTCAATGAATACACAAATAAATGTGCCACATGTTAAAAATGATTCAGGCACACTTCAATGCATAGGCGGCTTATGACCTAGGTTTCAAAAGTAGGGCACATCTTTTGATTAGTTTATTACATATAGTAATACAAAGTGAAACAAAGTCATCAAGCAAAAACTTGGAAGAAATGCATTACTTTTCTATAATTTATATGAGTTCATAGTTCTACGAGTCATAAATTTACTTTATGAAGAGGTCATTTAACCTTCACTACAGCTGAATATTGATGATAAAAAATAATATGCTCTTTAGATTCACCCTATGTAGGCTAAAACCTAACATACTCAACATCATATTTCATAAATCTATTTACAATAAAATCTTTCATATTTATTGTGAGAAAAAACTCGTGATTAAAAATTTCTTTAATCACTAGAGGGAACTAAACTTATTAATCAGCTATTAGTCACCTAGAGTTGTGAATCTAGAAGGAAATTTTTGAATAAAATTTCAAAAGAGCTAAGTACGATAATCAACACTTGTGATCAGATGACCAAACTTAATGGAACCCAACAACAAAATTTATTATTTGAGGGAGGACATAAGTAGTGGGTTGAACCACTTTAAAATCATTTAGTCTTACATTTATCCATCAAGGAAGACCATAAGACTCAAGAAAAATTAATTCATAAAAAGAGGTTTTATTATAGCAATAATTAGAAATTAATCAATTCAACCCCTATTTCCTGATCTAATATACCTTTCAACCCAACAAAGATCATTCTCAAAGTTCTAGCTATCATCATACATAAAAAAAGGCTTTCAAAATAGTGGGTCTCATACTTATAACAACCCATCCCACTTTAAAAAACTTGCTTTATTCATTCCAAATAGGCAGCCTAATTCGTCATATTGAGCATTGATAAGTCTTCATTATCATGAGTTAATAATTAGTAAATAATAAATTTTTAGCCTTAACTCATGATAAATAGACTTATATTTGTGTTAAAGTGTGAAAAGTGGTTTTCAGTTGATTAACGTGAATTTTTGGGTAATTATGTGATTTTATACAAATTTATATGATTTTTACAGTCTTACTTTTGAGATAAATAAAGAAAAATAAATAAAAATAAAAATAAAAATAAAACAAAATGGGGGGGGGGGGGCGCTAGCCAGCTGGGCCCGCAAGCAGGTTGGAAGCACAGTCGAGGAGTAGCCACGAGCAGGGGCTCGAGCAGCTTGGACTAATGGGGCACATGTGCGCCACTCCCCTTCCACGTCACCAGTGGCCAGCCAACTGTGGGACAAGGAGTGGTCGTACACGCGTGAGAAAGGGACTTGATCGAAAATATAATATTACTGTATATTCGCCAGAAACTTTGACGCACAACCGATGTGGGACTAAACCCGCGTCACACCTTCCCCAGAACAGGGCGGGCAACTGGCACGGGTTCGAATCCTCCTAGAGCCAAAATTCATATTTTTTATCTGATTATCGCGACTTTTCTGCAGATCGCCGGTGAAGGATTAAGCAATCAAAATCACTGGATCATCAGCAAAAATCTCATCAACGTGATTCGTGGAGCATTGTTACTAAAATCGCTAAACAATTCGTGATAAAAGGATCACGAAAATCTATCGAGTAAAGCATCTACGATTGATTGACGAACAAGCCGTCGTCGGGAAGAGGACGATCTACCGGGAGACGAGTCGCCACCTCCTAAGAGCGTACCAGATGTGATGAAGAGCCTTCTCTTGCTGTGTGGACCTGAGGATGAAGCTCCTTGACACACGCCCCACCTCCATTCAGCTCCTCTCCGTCGAGTGACAGCCGTCAGAGAGCCACAAAGTCGTCGTTTTCCGCTCCGCCAGGTGACAGCCACCAGAGATGATTCGACGACCCATTTCATTGATCTCTAGACTTCACAAGGAGATCTAGAGATTGCCCACGTCATCTTTGTCCAAGGAGAGCCTTCGAGGCTATGAACACTGCACGACGATCCTCCTGAATGCTCAAGATTCCGGTGCATCACCGACGTATTGCTCTCGCGACGTCGGAACTCTGTTTTCTTACTTTTAATTTAATTTTTGCTTCATTTAGTGTTAATTTTTTGATTTTAAATTTACCAACCTATACTTCATTCAATTACGATTCTTCCGGCTTTTACAGATCTTAATTTGATCAATTAAATTGTCTATAATCGCTTATGTAAGAATCGTCGGGTGGAATTCTATTTCTGCTCGATTCGCATTCGCCAAGCGCTGACGTCATCCTGACGTCCACACCCTTATTTCCCTTTTTTGTGAATTTTAATTATATTTCCTTTTCATTTCCTAATATAAAATTCATAGAAAATAGTATTCTTTGAGAAATTTTTTGAATAATTACCAGATATTAAATTACATCCATGTGATCGACTTAGAAAATTACCACTATTTTTGGAAGTTTTATTG